TTGAGGATGCCAAGTGGAGGCCTGCATGATGAGTGTATTATGTTTATATGGATATTTTCATTTATATTTACTTTTTTAAAGGATTTAAATAGTTGCTATTGGTTTTATGCCACTAGTGTCATATTTAGTGAGATGGGCAGCTAAATAAATAAATAATAAAATAAACAAACAAACAAGCAAACAAACAAATAAATACACCATCAAAGCTGACACCAGCCAGAGCATAGAAAAACTCAAAGAAATAGTGCAAGATCAGAAGATGTGGGGAGACCTGGCCCTTAGAGTCGCCAATTGAATGGATATCATCATCATCATCATCATCATCATCATCATCATCATCATCATCATCATCATCATCATCATCATCATCAAAAATAAATATGTCCAGATAATATCTGTGGGACCTATCCCAATATTAGAATTGACAGATTTAGAATTATAGCAGAATGCTATAGCACTGACTTTTCTGGTTCCCCCTATGAATAAAGGAGGTCAAAGGAGTGCCGAAAAGTGATTTTCTGCTTATACAGTGTAAGTACAGTGGAGGTTGAGAAGTAATCACTTTCCACTCCCTTCTTCCACACATCGACCCTAATCCATTCTCAATCTTCATTCTAGTTCTTTACTTGCATCAGTTGTTATCACTCTCAGCTTCCCAGTAAATCAAGGGCCTGATCTGGCTGGCTGATGGAAGAAAATTGTTAGAGACAGAGGTGTCAGCTATCTAAGTTGGACTTTTAGTCTACAGCTCTGAATATATAACAAGTATTAAGAAATAATAATAGACTTCATGCAAAAGATTAGTGATGGTCATTTCATTCACTGGGCTAATTGCCAACTTGTCTCCAAGTTTAATACTGAAGACTGGTTCTTAATATTAAACTTTAATACTACTCTTGTAATGGGACCATGAATTTTATTAGCAAAACCAAGGGCATACTACATACTTACTTTGAAAGCTAATGTTATAAAATTACTAGAGCTACGATATTACCGTACTATGTAACCAATGCACTCAACCAATAAAATCAATAAAATAAGCCCTAATATAAGCAAGGAAAAGCTGAGATCCCACAAGTTACATCTCTATCATCAACCCTGCAACCATCTGAGCAGTCTCCCTACCCAACTGGCACAAATTCTGAAGTGCATACAAAGCCTACATAGGTATAACAGATCTGCTTTTACAAATGTACACTTTTAAGAAGGATGGTAGGGCCAGGAACTGAAGTATACTTCCACTTTCCCCTTAAACAATTTTCACTGATTAAGAAGCATATGTGTATGAAGCTACAGATGTGAACACAATAGCAAAATCCTCATTGAGATCAATGCATCCAACCAGACATAAAACACTGAAACCGAAGGAAATGGCGAAGACAAGACTTGGCTTGCCATGCCAAATGGGTTGCCATAACTCAGTTATTTCCCTACTCTCAGTTTTGGGGTATCATTTATTCACTGACACGTCTTAAGAAATCCCTTTTTATCTTCTAGGAAAGCATTCTGGCGGTTTCTTGAGCATTGCAGGAGTTTTGGGATGAGATCTAGGATGCAGTACAAGAATGAGTAACCTGTGAGTAGGGGCAGGTTCAGGTAAAAAATAAATATACAGAGGTGGTGAAAGATGGCAAGGATTCAGGTGAGGTCTATTTGCAAAGGAGATGAAGGAAAAGAAAGAGGAAATAACCCAAATAGATCCACTCCAGGTTTCTTTCCCCATATCAGTTATTAAGATTTTTAAAAAAAAACCAGGTTAAAAAGGTTAGAGATATATGTGCCCCAAAGTCCCTTGAATTTTAAAAATATGCACTAAAATAAATGAAACTTACTTGATAGATTTTAAAGCATTGCAACTGTATATACCAGCCAGTGTTGCACTACTAAGTATTAAAAGAACCAGCTCTTAGAACATTAGATGATTAAAAACAAAAACAAAAACAAACAAACAAAACCCTTCCAAAGACTATGGGCTTGATTCTGCTGCCGTTCCTATTAAAGCCTTGAGAACACAAACATGAATTACTGTTGTGCTGAGTCTTAGTGGCAGCAAAGGGGGATTGAAAATTGCTGTTGGAAACTCAAGTAAAAAAGGACAACAGGGAAAAAAAAACTTCCAGTGGGTAAAATATTTGAGTGAAGGTCTGAAGTACATATTAATGGGAGGCAGGCTCATGGGAAAGAAGGCTTTAGGGTACCTAATATATGGATACTATTAATAATAAATATTAATAACTATACCTGCCTGCCATAGATGGATAGGGGGCTCAAGGGCTATCAGCAGAATTTAGATAGTGGGATTTTTTCCAGGCTCCTAACCTGTAAGAAGATTGATGAAATGATGGCTGCCAGTCTATGATCACAGCTGATCCATTTGCAAATGGTCTTCTCACTGGTGGCATCCCAAATTTGGAACACCCTTTGCTGACTCCAATGCACTGCCTTTTCCAGTGGCAAACTGAAATCTTTTTCTATGCACAGGGCTTTTGAAGTAATTCTTGAATCCCCTCTGGGTGTTTACAATTCAATTTGTTTTATTGTATTTAATTTTTCTGACCTAAAGCTTTAGGATGGGTATGTGGTACACATATTCCCAAAATACGTATTCCCAAAATACCTATAGAATCCAAGAGAGAACTTACAGAGGTGAAGCTGAAAACATGCAAAAGAACTGCAGATTGTCAACTCTGTAGGGAGAAGCAAGTGAACGTGGAATGTACGTTACCCGCATGATTAAGCAGTAATTTGTAAACATTAGATTCCCAATGAAATCACAATGCGTTTCAAGAAAATCACCTTGACCAGCTATATGCCAATAGTGCATTTTTCCAGCCCAAATGTAGGTGAGGAAACTTTGACCATACTAGAGTTACAGAAGCAATAAGTAAGAACTGTGGCAGGATCAGCTTCCTTCAAAATTTTGCTTTAGATTTTCCCCCCCTGGTATTCCTCCCAGGGAAGTATATTTTAAAGAATCAAAATTGTTTTATCTCTTTCAGTATTTTAATGAGATTCCCCCCCTTGTTGCCACTTATGGGTTAAGAAAATGCGTCCACTGCAATCATCTCTGGTCAATCGCTTGTGAAGAACTGGTATAATATATCCCCAAGGAGGCCAAAATCTATTCCCTGGTAAATCTTTTGTAGAACTTGGGATGTTGAAAGTACTAACATGATACACCTTGTGGATGTTCATTGTGAGTATGTGGGTGTACACAAAAAAACCCATCATCTCTTAGCTGAGCATAATGGTTTAAAGGACTTCTATTCAGGTTTGCTTGAACACAACTAAGAAACCTCAGCTCAGCCAGGAACCTAACTACATTCACACAGAAGCTCTCTTGCTTTTTGATCATATATGAAATACCAGGGGTGGGCAGCAGCTTACAGCCCAGGCCTTCAGACCCACACCTTATGTCCAGGTACCTTTAAATCCTCTTGCGAATGAGCTGAACATCAGTAGAAGCTTAATCAATGTGGGAAAGAGTAATGAATTATTATGTGAAAGCCACTTGCAAGCGGAACTCCTTGGTCTGAATAATCTGGTGTTTCTGTGACAAACCAGCGACTATTTGACACATCTGATGTAGCACAACATGCAGAATCTCCCCCTGAAGGAACAAAAAATTAGGGCCGGGTAATTAAGGTAATTAACCATGAAAATGCAGTGAGCATGTGTGATGTAATTTGCTATGATGTCAGTGGGCAGGCACAGATTTTTTTAAAAAATGCCACGGTATCGTTTCTATAGTGCTTAAGACCTTTGCTTACCAGAGCATAGGAAATGTGTTAAATCAAGTTACAATGTTAATCAGTTTAGCTCGGTGTGGTCATTCCACGGTAACTGGCAAGAGTTCTCTGAGATTAAAGGCAGATATAATGTCCTACTTTACTAGTGATGCCTTTTATCATGTAAAATCACTGAACTATCTGCTTTTTCCTGAACAAGGTGAGGACAGGATGCTAATTTGCATGCATTCCACAACAGAATCTCACACAGACGTCAACTAGAATAGACAGTAGAGATATGCAGAGGAAAGCATGTCCATGGAATGTCCTGTTGTGTTGTTTTTAGAAGACTATTATTAAGGCTTTCCTGAAAGAGATGATTACATTGGAGGCATATTAATTCTTTCCTCTTCAACATTTAAATAAAAATCCTTTGAATCAAAAGAAAGTGGCAATAGAAAAGGAGCATGTGCCCAAATTTTGTCAGTTGAATGTTTGTAATTAATGTCCAAGCAGACTTCGCTAATGGAGGAATTTGTTTACAGGATCTGCTGTGTCAGAGATGAATATAGTAATATGGTATACTGTATCATTATTTAGTAATATAGAATCCCATTATAATAAAAAAAAAACTAATTTACTATATGAAAATTATGAGTCCATTCTTGAAAACTGATTGAAAGATTCTTCTCTAAGCAATCAACAGTATGGAACGATTACTGTTTTTTTTTAAAGAAATTATTGATTTGGTTCATGAAACGAATAGCTAACTGAGAACAGCCTTCCCCAACTGGATGTCCTCTGGATGTGTTAGATTTTAAATTTCCTAATTCCCAGTCAGTATAATTCACAGGAAAAGAAATCTAGCATATCTAGAAGGCAACAAATTGGGGAATCCTAGATTAGTTTCGTAATGTAAGGTTTTGATGGCCAAGGATAATTCAATCCATTAATTACATGCAGTTAACATGATCAAGATTCTATTGGTTTAAATTTTGAAGTGTTTTGGTATTGAATCTTAACAGATTCTTTAAAATACATATTAGGCAACTGTTAAGCTATTTAGGCCATCAAAAAGCTTCTATGTATCCATTAATTCATCTCTTAGAAAGAGAAGGAACTAGATCCTGCTACAAGGTTCTTATGTAGAGGAGGTAAGTATGGAAACTAGAGGAGAAAAGAGGACAGTCCACATTGCCCATGTTTACCTGCGATGGATGAAAATTGTCGGGTTAAATACAAATGACTATTAAAATAATGAAAATTGGTTACTTACACAGTTTCATCATTCTTGAATTCCAGTTCTCCATAACTGTCTTCAAAATCCTCTCCTCCTCCTTTTGCTGTTCCTTCAACTGTTCTAAAGGGGACTATGACTGTACCCCGGGCACCGGATGTTCTAAGAACTTTCACTTCTATCACCCCAATGCTCTCACTGATATGTATCACATCACACTCGAAGGTGAAGATGCCCGCATGGTCATCATCTAAGATAGTCACAGTAGCCACACAAGGTGAGATCAGTATGGCCTTGGGATATGGCAGTTTGTTGATTTCAGGAGGTTCCTCTGCATCAATCACCCGTAGGTTGCTAAGACGCACAAAAAAGTGTTCATCCTCTTCAAAGATATCATCATCTATGATCCCTATGGAGAACTCTTTCTGGGTCTCCCCAGACTTCAAAACAACTGTCCCCTCTGTAAATTCATAGTCAGCCCCAGCATTAGCAGAGCCATCTTCTGTTTTGTAATCCACATATATGATCTTGGAAACATCACCTCCTTTCCGGACAACAGTTAGGAGGACAGCACCACAGTTCTCAAGACACTGATAGGAACAAGGGTCAAAATAAATTTTGGAGATGAATTCTTCTGGCTCCTCTGGCCGTACTTCATGCAAGCTAGTACTCCTTTTGGCTTGCTCAGCTGCATGCTTTTTGAGAATATTTCCTGCTCCAGTCATCATCCTGGTAGCCTGAATCCGATAGAATGCTCTGCTTTTTTGCTGGTGGGATAAAGCATAGTAGTTGGCCATTTCTACCAGCTGATCTAAGTCTTTTTCTGGGTGCTTTTGTTTCAGGTCCTTGAGGATCCGGATCATCTCTTTGCGAGACTCATCCACCTCTTTCCCCTCCATAGGCACTAGGTTCCCATCTAAAAAATGGGAGTTCATCATCTTACCATCCATTTCAATCCCTTTGGGGTGATCCCCTTCTGTTTCAATGATAATACCCCTGTGTTTGTCAGTACGGTACTTTTTGTGCATATATTTATAGAGAAACAGCCTTCTGTCTGCAATCCAAGCCAGGATGACACAAACAGGGAAGAAAAACAGAGTGAGCAAGCCTTCCCATACCTGAACCACACCTGGAGAGAAGACCGCAAGGATCATGTATAACCAGATATAGGCAAAGATGCTCCATGCCGCTGTGACAAAGAAAACTCTCAAATGTTTTATCTTCCTCGTCTCCCCATCAGGAATGACATAGACACAGATGGCTATGATGATAAACATATTGAAAGCTGCACTCCCAACAATGGTAGAAGGGCCCAGCTCACCAGCAATGAATCCATGACCACATACCTCTATCAATGACAAAAGGATCTCGGGGGCAGAGGAACCAAGAGCCATGAGGGTCAAATTGGAAACAGTTTCATTCCATATTCGGATGGTGGTGGTGATGGCTTCTCCATTGGGTTTCCTAACCGTAATCTCTTTTTCCTGTGATGTAATGACCTCTATGGAGGCCATGAAACGATCGGCAATGATAGAAACTCCAAGAAACATATATATGAGTGCCACAAAATAAACAATAACTCTGGCAATTTTGTCCCCCAAAGATGGGTTTTCTGGATACCATATTGGCAAGATAACACCCTCTTTGCACTCAGAAGAACCTGAGCATGTGGTGTTATGTCCTATGCTTGGTGAATCTGTCCCCGTGCCAGCATCTACTTGTAGACCATGTAAAAACAGGATAAAAGTAAAAAGCCCAAACCGGAGGAAGGCTGAGGTGACAGGTTGTAACTTTAACCGCGCCATACATAAGGCTTAACATCCACAGCACAGGTGTAATGGTCTTCTGTTCAGGTTAAGAATCTGAAATAAAGAGATTGAAACCATGAGACTGAAATACAAGGAAGCACTAACATTCCATATATTAATATGTTCTGTTATTCACAACTACGGGTAGTCGTTGACTTACAACAGTTCATTTAGTGACCGTCCAAAGTTACAACAGCGCTGAAAAAAGTGACTTAGGAACGTTTTTCACACTTATGACTGTTGCAGCATCCCCATGGTCATGTGATCAAAATTAAGAATCTGGGCACCTTTTGTGATCTTCTGACAAGCCAAGTCAATGAGGAAGCCAGATTCACTTAACAACCATGTTACTCACTTAACAACTGCAGTGATTCGCCTAACAAGAAAGATCATAAATGGGGCAAAACTCACTTAACAATTGTCTTGTTTAGCAACAAAAATGTTGGGCTGAATTGTGGACATAAGTCAAGGACTACCTGTAGTTATGTTAGCTTATGTACGGTAATCATATTTAGTTCATTTTACACGGAGCATGCAAAAATTGAATTGTTTGCTTATCAGCCGAACAGGGGAAAACGCTCTGTTCTGAGCAGAGAATACCTAACATTGTTATTTAGCTTAGACATGGTTAGTATCCTGACAGCAACTGAATTATTATCAAAGAATCACATCAGGCATTCCAGTTTTGCCCTGAAGCAGGATAACATGATAAATTGGCACTTGTTTACGGTATAACCCTATGAATGTTGATTAGAATAAAACCCTAGTAATTCCGAGTAAAGAGCTCCAAAATGTTGTGAAGCCAACACCAACTTTAATTGATTGATTGCAACTCCATCACCAGAGACACTAGACTGAAAGATCCCTTCTAAGACACTCAAATGAACTCAGTGCCTGAATAGGAAGTTGAATCTGGGTTTCCTTGGTTCAGCTTTCCCTGGTCCAGATTTAGCATCTTAACCAGTTTTTGTTTTGAACTGTGTGAGTGACTGTCAACCTTGTAAAGTAGTACAGACATAGCTCTATCATTACTCTGTTACATTAACAGAATCTTTTAGGTCTGAAAGTAGATGTTTCTCCCTTCACCTTTATAGTTCAAGAAATTAGGGATGGTCGCTTTTGAGATATTAGTCATACACCTATTCTTTCTATGGGCTCAGCTGCCCTTTAGTTGACTATTGCCTAGTCTGCAGCTCTTCCTTCTGTCTTCAAACTTTATTCCCACATACCATTGCAGTTGCTCTAACAACATTGAGAGTACGGCATAAATATTTAACATAATAAATAAAGCACAGGTTCAATGTTTCCAAAAGATGTTTATATTTTCTGGGAAGAACTGGGTCTCCACTTGAAGACCAAACAAGACATAGATCTTATTTGAAGATCTAAGAAGACATAGCTAATGTGGCTCAAGTCTACTCTCTTTTCTTTTTTATGGAAAGGCATCATCAGAGAAGGTTAGCAAAACAACAGTATAGCATATGGCCTGACTACCACACAGTGAGGTAAAGTTGCAGCAATAAAAATAAATCTGATTTGAAATAAACCCTAAAATCTGTATTATCAAATAGTGTTTCGCTTGAATATGCTAATTTTAATCCCAGAATTGAAAAATGGTTTTCTAAAAAGGACATGAGGTTTCACTAGAGTGATGTCCCTTGATATGAAATCCAGATATGCTGGACTTACAGCTGACAAAATTTTTGATTCACCATTCTGGGAGCTGTAGTTCCATGCATCTAAACTGGGAAAAGCTGCTTTAGAAAATTTGCAAAATTTAGGATAGCCGTATAGTGAAACAATAACAATAAATACCTAAGTGTGCTTCAGGCACCTATTAAACCTAACTGCAACTAACTTTCAAGGCTAGAACAGAAAATAGTGTCTAAGCCAGACATGTCAAACTCGCGACGTCACGTGACGTTGCGCAACATATCGGAGCGTTTTTGCCATTGCCGGCAATGGGGTGAGCGCGGCTCCGGTATGATGAAACCGGCCCGCGGGCCGGCAGTTTGACACCCCTGGTCTAAGCACTCAACATCCCTGACTAAAAAAATGATTATACAGGGAGTCCTTGACTTACGTCTATAATTGACCCCCAAATTTCTGGTATTAAGTGAGTTTTGCCTTATCTTATGATCTTTCTTCCCACAATCATTAAGAGAATCACTGCAATTGTTAAGTAACAAGGTTGTTAAGTGAAACTGGCTTTCCCATTGATTTTGCTTGTCAGACGGTTGGAAAAGGTGATCACATCACCCAGAGACACTGCAACCGTCATAAATATGAGTCAGTTGCCAAGCATCTGAATTTTGATCACATGACCAAGGAGATGCTACAATGGTCATAAGTGTGAAAATTGGTCATAAATCACTTTTTCCAGTGCCGTTGTATCTTCAAACGGTTACTAAATGAACTGTTGTAAGCTGAGGACTACCTGTAGTTGGCAGAGTTGAGGGAAGAAGTGAAAGACAACAGATAAAATGGAAGGACTGAGTCAAAGACTTATTTCAAGCAAGCAGTTGTCTGTGTAATTATCGGAAGTCAATGGCATCTAACTAACTCATGTCCAGTGGCTAAACAAGCTATTTTGACATTTGAGGCCAATTACCTATAAGTTCTCCTTGCTGATAGTCTAAATGCAACATAAATAAATTAAATGTTATGGGTTGCCCTTTCATAATATTCCAAATGCCTTGTTCTGTTAATAATAGGGATGGACAGCTCCATTAACATTGCCAGTACAGAGAAATACACCATTTTTAATTTTTGAGCCATCAGTACAGATAGCAAAATTAGCAAGGGTCGTGTGGGGTGAGGCAGAAGACTAGAAAATATTTATGCCGCCTTGAAAACTCCTTCGCTCCCTCTTAGGAATTCAATCTCCCGTTTTGAGAAGCAGACTCAAAACACAAAACCTATTAATACTCACTATTGCCAAGGTCTATCTATCATTTTCTGAAGTCTGAATTTAAACCATCTATTTGCAAGCTCGACTGGTCTGGCATTCCTATTTGGGGTAATGTTCAGTAGCATTGTTAGAGGAACTTTATGCACACAGAGCAAAATAGTTTACATGCACAAACATAGACTGGAAATACAGTATATCCAAAATCCAAACAAAATGTAACATAAAGTACATTGCAGGAATCACTTGAACATTATTAGTGTAAACAGGTATTTCTAAAAGGGCAGTTTTCTCACTGGGTTGCATCAACCACTTCTTCCTAAATATCAGTGATTATTGATATTTAACATCAATAATAAAAAAAATTAAAAAAACTTTCAAATAAGACTAATAACAACCAAAAGAAGAAGAAAGGAACAAATAATGATACAAATGGAAACAAACAGGACCGACAAAGTGAAGGAAACAGGAGACAACTTATTTTGTAGTATCTGAATCACAAATCCCTATCAAGCAGTCTTGGGATAGTTGAAGATTGGAATGAAATAACAAATCTTCTAGGCATTACACTGATTGAGTCAGACATGACAGATTCTTTCTGCCTTTCTCTCTGAAAATCCGGTCATTTATTTCCTTTTTAATTTAGATCGGACTTTCTAGAGATGAGAGATTAAGATTATAAACAAGAATCTGGGGCAAAACCTCAAGCCCTCTTTTCAATTAGTCAAAATATATGAATGTTGCTGGAAGACTCAGTGACCAATATTTTCAAGAGAGGTAGCAGACACATTTCTTTGCTCCCACAGTACACAGTGACTAGAATTTCCAGTGTTGCAACTAAGGCTGGAAGACAATTTTCTTTTGCAGAATATAAATATGTGAGCCCAGATCTGGTGAAGTGTGGCTCAAGATTAAGCTTTCAGCCAGCAGCAACTGTGGTGTAATATAGCTCATAATCCTTAGGGCAGGGTCTTCAATCCTGACAACTTTAAGACTTGTGGACTTCAGCTCCCAGAATTCCTCAGCCAGCTAGGGAATGACTCTAACAGTTGGGTTGACCAGCCATCCCAATTTAGAAGCTTATTATCCAGGATGGCCGATCAGATACAATCAGGAAATTCACAACAATAGCCCTATATTCTTTTTCCCCCCAACAACAGTTCTCTAAAGTTTGATATCTGTAATTAAGGAAACGCTAGTAGCCATCAGAAAAAAGTAGTTGTTGATAGTCCTGATCTTCATGAATTTCTGTAGCCCTCTTTTAAAATCCCATAAAATCATAATCATATCTGATGGTAGTGAATTCCACAATTAACCTATGTGTTGGGATGCCATCTCTTAAAATGGCTCCTAGACAGCCAACTGCATCATGCCATAAATTTTTGGAAACATTTGAGCTTTTCCACTTGCTTCCTGTTTAGATATTCCAAATAAAGATATAAGCAGGTATTATAATAATTGGAAATGTTGCTTATCTAGAGAAATGCACAATCTTAGCTATATGTTTGACTTATGTGAGCCAACTGCCTGTATATTGCTGGCAGCAATTCCATCTCTTCTCAGTATGTCTTTAAATTATGAAACCTAACTATCAAAAGAAGCCAGAAATCTCCAGCCTTTCGGGCTGATGAGTGCATTTAGAATTTTGGAACATAAGGTGTTGCATAATGTGAGTATATTTTGGAACATAATATGGGCACTCTCACAAAAAGACATCACTGCTTATAAGATATAGATTTATCTGAATGCTCGCTACCAGTTTCCAGCTTGCTCTCCATGGAATGCTCCTCATTCCTTCACTTGCAATTCAAACAAAGCACTGGACATCAGCCATCTACCATGTTCATTTTCTAAGAAGGCTTACAGCATCCATTAAAGCCCAGAAGCTTTTTTTAGGGGGGGGGACAAAGAAGAGACTGGAGACTGGATTTCACAGCCTTTCAGCTTCTCATTTTTGCTTATGTAATATATTTTTTTAAACAGTAAAAATCAGGAAGGTCAGGAGATTAGTGGCTGACAAAGGAGACCTCATGGACACCTTGTCATCCATACATGCCATGTTTGAGATCCGAGGACTTGGGTATCAACTTTCTAAAATCAGTATATTTTGATACTGTAATCCCAACCCGTCTGT